TTAATGATATCATGTAGGCATATCACAAAAACAAGCAGAAAATTAGTAATAATAATAACAATATTAATAATAAATAATAACGAACAATAAAAATAATAATAATGAGGTTGAAATTATTGAATTTCAAATGGCACCAACCAACTAGCCAACACACGCACACAAACATACACATAGACAAACACACACACGCACACTCGCACAGAAAATCCCACACACACCAACAAACAGACAACACACGCACACAAAGACATCCTGTTCTTAAAAATAAACCATAATGGTAGTAAAAACAATAATTATCACCGTATATTATAAAATAAATAAAAATTATTATTATTATTATCTTATTATCAATAACTCTAGTACTAGAGTGTTCTTGAGACAAAAGCTACATTGTCCAAACTCATAGTAGACAATAATAAAATAATAATAATCATAATGTCATTCATTGATATTCTTCTTGGCTATTATTATTATTATAATATTTAAGATAACATTTATCTAAAAGTGTCGATTTTTAGAAAGAAATGATTAAGATAAAGAGAGAGCCATATGGTAGTTAGGGTGGATAAATACGATGATGATGAATATGATATGATATATGCTATGATATATATATCTATATATATATATATATATACATGAAATGATATATATGATATGATATATAATGTGAAAGATGATATGGCATGATATATGACAGTAATGATGAATACATACGATGATGAATATTTTATTATCTGCAATTTGTTTGAAAAATTTCCATAAAAGCTAAGGAACCAAAAAAATTTTTAATTATTCAAAATCTTTCCTTGTTAATATGACGCAATAATAATAATAATAATAATAATAAAGACATTCTTATTATTATACCTATGCATAGAATATTAAATATGGCAAGCCTACTGGCTATCCTTTTAATAATCCATTGACCGTCCATTAATTTAGATGTTGTGGTGGTCACGTCGGCGGCTGACACGCAACTAATCCCGTCGACGATGTTATTATTGATATCTTTGGTGTCATTGCTGTTGTTGTTTGTATCTTTGTTGTTGTTGCTTACGTCATCGCTGTCCGTAAGATCTATTTCCCTTATTTTGAGACCCATGCCGTTTAGACTGTAGAAGCTGACATGGGGTGGGTAGATTAGATTAAATTATATAGAGGTGTTCCAGTTGATGTTACTCTGCTGTTGATGTCATCAGATTATAGTTTACTAGTGGCATATTAGTGTTGTTGCTGTATTGTTGTTGCTGTATCGTTCTCAGAGAAAGAGAGAGAAGAAAGAGAGAGAGAGAGTACAGTTAATAATGCTGGGACCGCTACTAATTTAACAGTTATACTGTTAAATTGTTATGTCGGTTGTTGTTAATGATGTAGTCTAATCCGTAGAATTATCAATTTTGATATATATGGCAACTCAGGGACTAAAAAAATTTGTCATCTACCGCTATCCATGGAGTCATGAATGATAATCCGCAAAAAGATATGCCAAACAGATTGACAAATCCTTCAAATGTATAACCAATTTTATGATAATATATATGTACAACCTATAACAACAAGCTATCACAAACCAAACGTTTAACTTTATTCAAGATTATATAATAAATAATTGATACTTATAGGATAAGATAATTCTATATGTGTGTATGTATGTATGATAGATCTATCTATCTATCTATCTATCTATCTATCTATCTATCTATCTATCTATCTATCTATCTATCTATCTATCTATCTCTCTGTCTGTTTATATTTAGGTATCCGTTCATCTATCTCTACAGTTCAATTTATTTATGGAGTTATGTTCGTATCCAATTCAATTTATCAAATGCGTTATATTGCATAGCAATTATTCAATTGTTACTGATATTATTTCGTAAATAAATAAATAATAAAATATATATAAAGAGAAGTTTATTAATTTAATTTAATTCGAATTAATTCACTTTAATTCGAAGTAAGTTTTTGTAAACTAAAATTAAATAAAAAAACCGAACAAATTTCTAACTCTTCAACAACTCAAAACAGTACTGCACTACAAACGAAAAATCATCATCATCACCGATCCATCCATCTATCTATTCATTCATCCACCGTCCATCAATCCATTCCTTTATCTCTCTCTCTATCTATCTATCTATCTATCAACCTATCAGTCTATCTATCTAACTTCCAGAACAATAAATGAATGATCTAATCAACTGCATCAACTATATGTACTGCAGACATATAATTATATAAACGTGTGTATATATAGTACCCAATAACGTCTATATATATATGTATATATATATGTATATATATATATATATAAGTGTATGTCCATAGTAATTTTAATTATTGGTGCATAATAATTACTCTTGACATTTGGTATATATATATATATGTGTGTATATGTATATATATAACATATAATCATACAATATATATATATATATATATATATATATAATGTGCAATCATAAGTGTCATGCATTTAGCAGGTTAATTAGCTATATTGTATGTATGTATGTAATTATTTAGTGTCATTAAGTGTATGTTTATTGTATAATTTTATGTTTATTCCATACAAGCATAAATGCATACAAATACATTTATAAACATCTTATATATATATATATATATATATATATATATATATATATATATATACATATATATATATTATGTGAAAACTTACACACACACCACACACACACACACACACACACACACACACACACACACACACACACACACATACATATAGCCATTCAAACATACATTTAGGAATAAACATAAGTATGCTATTAGATAACAATAATTTTATTGGTGATAAAGAAGGCAATCTGAAGATGATGGTGATGACGAAGAGGACGATAAAGAAGGAGAAGATAATGAAGAGGAAGAAGTCGATGATAAAAAAATGAAAAAAATGATTTTCAAGAAGTTGGTAACAATGAGTAGGAGAAAAATAACTTGAACAAGATGATACTAACAAAGAAGATGGTGATGACAACAGAAAATGATGATTTGAAGATGGTAATGATGATGATGACGATAATCATGGAGACAATGTTAAGAAGATGATGATGATGATGGTGGTAGCTCTCTCCTAATTATCATACAACAGTCAGTGCACAGATGAATTCTCATTGAATATTAATCAGTTGATAATTTTATTCTGTTATGCTCTAAATAATAATAATAATAGTTTGATTTTAAATATTTATTATTTCCATTTATGACTGCAGCTGCCTACCCTCCAGCTAGTAAATGAAATTTAATTTTAAATTTAAATTAAACTGAACAATAGAATATTTTATTTTTAGTCATTTATCAAAATAAATAAAGTTTGATGATAAATAAAATAAATATGAGCTACATACGTACCAACACACAAAATGTTGAAACAGAACCCATCGGCCACAGACTTGTTCACTAACTGATCCGGCAGACTGTGAAAGCCAACCTGATCTTCCAAGTTCAGGTTTCTCAGTTCAGAGTCCTAATAAAAATTTTAAAAAAGATTCCTAAACAAATTCCTAATATCCTTTGATGTTTTTGTTGTGTTGTGTGTGCCAATGCCAATGCCACAGTCAGTCAGCAGCAGCGCAGATGTGATATGATTCATTTTCATATTTTAAAGTTGTTACGGGTTGTGTTTTAAAAAATTAAAAAATAAAAATTAGTTAATTAGTAAAAAATGAAATAAAGTACCCCGTTCAGAGCAATTTTTTTATTGTCAATCATCTTAATTTTCTGATATTTATCGCAGCGATAAATGGAAATCAGGAAGTGAATATAGATGAGTAATCATGCAAAGATAAAGCATTAACATTTATTTACACAACTTTAATTAACCATTAAAAATAGTTATCTATGGTTCTAACCTGATTATTATAGATATGACAAATCATACAAAAATTTGCTTTAAACATTTAAAAATACAAAAAAATTGTTGTATTTTGGTGCCTTATTTAACTTTAAAAGCTAAAATATTGTAAAAATGAAGGTAAATCATTAGAACCCATGAGCCAATTTATCAATCCAAGTATTTATTCTATTCAAACTTAATCTAAACAAAAAGATTGAAAATTGAAAAAAATCGACGGAAAATTTACGCAAATTTGTATGACAAATGTTTTTAACGGTAAATGTGATCAGAAAAACTATGAAACCCTTGATTTTAATGATAAATATTGTAGAAATGTAAAACTATAACTTATTAAATTAGCTATATTATTACTCTAATCTTGTAGTAAAATATTAACAATTTAGAAAAATAGGTAAAAAATTGTTTAGTTGAAGAAATATGCCATAAAAAGAATGCAAAAACGAATCTAAAAAGAAGAAATTAGATGGTTGTTTTGGACTGTATGTTATCCTTTAAATAACACAGCCTTGTAACCTTGTATAAAGTAGTCTAGTTTTTTTATCATTGTTTACTATGGTTGTAACGTTTCTCAATGGATGGTGTTGATATTCTAGCAGATATTCTCTTACAAATTTCACATTTTCTCTAAAAGTCTAAATATTTCGTGTTTTATTACTCAATAAACTGAAAATTAATTGATAAATCTGTTTTTTTTTATCATTTTGTCACTTGAAAGAGATTATTTAATTTTGTTTTAGTTGTTAAATTTGGTGGTTATTGAAAAGTTAACTTTGAACCGCAAACTGAACTAAAAGGTGTCGTCTCGTCTGCTCGTTTCAAATCAGTTCGCCAAGTGGGAATATGTCGTCGAGCGCGTTAGGTTCCGTCGTTTCGAGAATGGCTGGCGCGTCTAATTGCCAATCAATTGTTCTGCGCGGTGGACCCCTCAAAGATTTTATCAATCGAGGTAAGATAGTAGAAAACGTCTCAAATTTCACCAAACGTTGTTTCGTTCGTGTCGGGTCCACGCTTTCCGTATCTGCGAATGCTGGCCGTCATAAAGATGGAGAGAACGAATTTGAAAATTTCGTCGTACGTTTAATAATGAAGAGATTGAAATTATGTTATGGTGCTGCTAATAATCAGTATCATCTGCTCCAATTTGATCATCGCTGCCTAAGTACTGCTGTTAAAGGTCGGTACTGAACCTTTTTCACTGCTAATTTTTACCACTATTCATAGATTGTTTTTTTCAATTTTAAAATTTTAATTTTAGGAGAGGAAGCAGTTAACCTGAAAGTAAAAGAAAAATCTGCTTCATCAACAGCATCACCAACTTCACAGACATCGGCTCAAGCTGCTTCCCCAGCTGTGTCAAAAAAATTTGAAATTTCATATGAAGATTTATTGTCATTCGTTCGTCTTGAGGAAAAGTTTTTGTTTGATGTCAGGGAGCCAAAGGAAATTCAGGACACTGGGTCTCTTCCTCACGCCATCAACATACCATGTTTGCTCTTTTTATCATTTTAATTAGAGATTTACAAATTTTTCTGTTTTCATAATTTGTTTTTTCATCAATTTTGTTACATCACCATCCTAGTTGTTAAATTTACTGTTTTCTTAATACATAATTATCTATTCCTAACATTCTCTCAAGTAAAAGTTGTATCATAGAATCATTAGTTTTTTTTTCACCTAACCTATTCAATATATTTTTTCCACTCATGCAGTAACTCAATTGAAAGCGAGTCTCCAGTTGGATGAATCAGAGTTCACAGCCAGGTTTCACATCAGGAAGCCCTCCCCTACCGACTCGCATCTCATGGTCTTCTACGGGCTGTCCTCGGTTAAGGGCATGTCTGCTCTTGAAATTGCACACAAGCTTGGCTTTAAAAAGTAAGTTATATATATAAATATATATATATATATATATATATATATATATATATACATATATATATATCCATTAACTTTTAGTGTGGCTAGCTTCTAACCATCCCTTTTTTAATTGGATGATTAATCAACTATATGTACTGCAGACATATAATTATATAAACGTGTGTATATATAGCGCCCAATAACGTCTCTCTCTCTCTCTATATATATATATATACAACAACAACACACGTTTAGACGGTATTTTCCCCGAGATCGGGGGTTGCCGTTTGGCTACCTATGATGAAACCGAAATACCCCTCGACACCATCCACATCTGTCACTCGCCTCAGTATCATGCAACCCCGCTTTCACCCTGTCCTTCTCCACCTGCTCTCTCCATCGCAATCGCGGACGACCCCTTGCCAGATCCATCCCAAACACATCCATTCCCTATAACATCTTTCCTATCCCTCATTGACTGCTTTGATACTTTGAACATTTTCCTCGAACTCACATCAAATTCCATTTCCTTCATTAACCTATCTGATGCTTTCGTCATTGCAGTTGCCACTGCCTGTTTTGCAACCTTCTTAGCCTTCCTATACTCAGACTCCGCTTCCTCCGTCATGTCCCTTCTCCATACCCTAAACCTCTCCTTCTTGACTTCCAAAACCCTTCTTATATCTTCATCCCACCACCACGTCTCACCATGCCTACACTTTCCTTTCGTCCATCCACATACTTTATCTGCCGTAGCCAACACACAGTCCCTGTATCTCTCCCAAACATCTCCATCCTTACCACTCTCCCTATTTTCAGCCACCTTCACTTCAAATGCCTTCCTCACCTCTGCATCCTGCAACTTCCATGTCTTTCTCTTTGCCACAAACTTATCCTTCTTCCTCCTCCCCATTTCTTTTGATGTCACATCCATCACAACCATACTATGCTGCAACATACCAGGTATCGCCTTCTCATTCTTCACATACTTCCTATGTTTGGCCCTTACCAATATATAGTCTATCATCGATCTATGTTCCCCTGACCTATAAGTAATCAATCGCGCTGGTTCCCTTGTGAACCAAGTATTCCCCACCACCATGCTATGTGCATCCGCTAACTCCAACACTCTACGCCCTTCCTCATTCCGTATACCATATCCCCATCCCCCATGTACACCTTCATATCCGTCTGCATCCGCCCCCACATGACCATTCAAATCACCCAACAACACCACAAACTCATTCAACCCCGCTTGCCCGATCTCGTCAGAAACATCATCATAAAACCTATCCTTCTCCTCTTCCTTCCTACTTTGTTGCGGAGCATATCCTGATATCACCCTCACTATTACTTTTCCAAACACCATCACCACCACAATTACCCCATTGCTTCTCCGCCTCACTTCCAACACCTTCTCCACCAACTCTTCTCTTACCATCACACCAACTCCTCCCGTACCATCATCCCCCTTCCACTACAACTTATATCTTCCACCTTTAGCCCCCACAAACCTTGTACCCTCACCCTTCCATCTGATCTCCTGTAATGCAGCCACGTCAACCATTCTCCTCTGCAGCTCCTCCACCACTTCCAAACTTCTTCCTGTCAACGTGCCTACATTCCAGGTACCAAACCTCCAACCCCTTGGTCTACAAGTAGTCCTTCCATCTATAGTGTCTTGCACCGCCACACTATAGAGTGGGGTGCCAGTAGCCAGACCATCCACAGGGCCTTGCACCACAACCCCATGGACTGGGTCTCCGGAGATTTTTCGCACCCTCTTCTGCCGGATACTGAGGGCCATTGTTTTTTCCGTCATCATAAGTATTATTATTTGGCTAGTTTTTACACAGGACGCCCTTCCTTAAGCAACCACAGTTATAAGCGGTGGGCCTAGCCTTTGATGATCCAACATCACTCACAAGGCAGTGAGGGTCAGTTTAATGTCATAACCAGGACATTCTCTCTCTCTCTCTCTCTCTCTCTATATATATATATATATATATATATATCCATTCACTTTTAGTGTGGCTAGCTTCTAACCATCCCTTTTTTAATTGGATGATTCATCAAATTTTTATTAATAAGGTTTTAAGGAAAGTTTTTGTTTAAATAAAATTTCGTAATTAAACCCAAATAAATAATTTAAAAAAATTGTGAATAACTAAAATAATTCTTCCCTCAAGAGCCAGGTATTTTCCTGGCGGCTTTGAAACCTGGAAGAGCAAGGAATCCGTATACTTGATCTAATTATATTTCTATTTACTATAATATTTATTTATTCATTTATTTATTTATTATTTATGGAATAATTTATTTTTTTTTATTACTCAATCTGTTATATTATTTTTTTCCTTGAATTAATCTAGTACCCAATTGTATTCAGTTATTAAATATGTTTTCATTTCATATTATTTATTAAATTTTACTATTATTATTGGCCAATTCATTTATAATTTAGTTAGTTACTGTTGATACTACTTTTAAACTATATAATTGTAGATATAATTAATTAATTAATTAAAATAATTATTATTCAACCTCTCGTACAATTTATATCAATGAAAATTTTGGCAAAACACTGATTTTTTCGTTTTTTCAAGTTTCTATTTTATTTTTAAAGGGTAATTAATTGATTGATTGATTGATTCAGTTGATTAAGTTTTAATTTGTTTTTTTGTTCATTTATTTATTTAAAACCATTCAAAAACTATATAATTAAATTGTATTGACTGTTTACAATGCCAAAAGGTTTCACAATTTTGTGATTGGTTGATATTTATGATTTGTTTGTTTTACGTACATACATACGTACACACACACATATATTCACACATATATATATATATATATATATATAAATTATATAGTTTATATCATAAATGATTACTACCCAAATACTGTTTAATTTAATGAGATTGCTAATACTGCTTACATTACATACGTACGTTCATATTCATACATACAATCGCGAGCCTTCGCTCATGTATGTATTTAAATATACTAACATATGTATATACATGGGGGTTTTTAATATAAAAACTTCATTTTTGACTCTCCTATTATAAGTTTAATTTTTCACCAGACAGCCGTGTGTTGGGTTGTTTTTCGTATTTTGTGTTCAACATAATAATAATAATATGAAAGTTATTGACTATGTTTGTGTATTTGGATTGTGTCTTGGTTAAGTCTTGGTTCTTATGTTAAGCAATGTGTACGGTAATTTTTAAGAATGTGCAACGCTAAAGTATTTTTTATGATTATCAAAACAAATCGTTTCTTGGTGAATTAGCTACCTAGTTTAACTTTTTACATTGAAATATTAGTAAATTAAAATTAGTTTTTTGTATAGTTTTAGTAAAAATAAAATTTTTCGGAGATAAGGATTACAGGAATAAATGTCAAATTAGAATTTCAGTGACTTGTCATTTGAGTTTACTTTTAAGTATGAAGTAATGATTTAGCGCTGTGTTTTAGTTTAACATACATGAAAACTTATATGCCATATACCTTTGGTTGTTAGTTTTCATTCCTTTTTTCAGCATGAGAGGTCCAACTAATTTTCATAATTCTTCCCAAAAACCACATCCCAACATCATTAATCTTTTTCCATTTCTTTAGAAATTGTCCAGGACTCAGAGTCGTAATGAGCAGCAGAGGAAAAATGTAACACTCCAACAACTATTTGAAAGATTGCAAGGAGAAGAACTGGCCGACAACGACGAATAACATCCGTTAAGACCCCTTGCGTCAATTGTTGAATACCAGTACCTACATTTCAACCGCTACAAAGTTTTACAGATCGGATTTTGTTTTGCAGGGCGATGGTCTCAAATTTACTGAAAGGATGAAGAAGAAGAAGAAGAAGAAGAAGAAGAAGAAGACATACAACATTTACTAAAATTTATTTATTTATTAAATTTCACAAAAATCTTGTTGTTAGTACTGTACAAAATTTGTAAGTTTAGAGATATGAGCTGTGTCATCATTAATAGTCTTATACATTTAACATACATTAATGATGATGATGAGAAAAATATCCAGTGACGCTGCTTTCTGCTTGATTGATAAATAATAATGATAATAATAACATCAGTGATAAGATAACTTAGAAATCTTCATTCTTTAAATACACGACATAAGACAGGCTGTTTATTGCAAAGTCTCACAGAGATTAATTAACCCACCATCGTTATAGTCTTCTCGTGCAGTATCAATACACTTCATTCGCATGTTCTATACACATACGTGAGGTTGTTT